AGTAAACACTCCTCCCCTTCTTCCCAATCTCTCTATTTCTATATATATCAATATTGTCCCTCTTTACTTTCCTTCATTGATTTATTAGAGATATACATCAACCCTATCTACTTTGACACTACAAACTGCAATCAAATAGTTCTACAACCACTCCAAGCTCTGCCTCATGCCCTATTTGTCACGCGCATTTTTGCTCTACCACCATTTTAGCTTCCATCTCTTGCCTGCTACATTAAGCCACACCCAACCCCTTCTTAAATAAATCAGCCATCCCACATCTCCCGCACTCACCCACATGCTATAAGCCACATAGTAACTTCTAGCGTTCGAGATTCTGCTCTTAAAAATGCCAATCACACAATCTCAATGTTGAATTCTTTGATTGAGGAATGAACAAGTTTATGCTGCTTTCAATTAAATTGATTTATGTAAGTTTTGAGTATGCAATCATCAGCCATGACGCATGCATCATTTTTGAAGCCATCATTCTAATCAATATAAGAAAGTACACTTGGTATGGATAAGCAGTGTAGGAGAGGTAAATTAAAAAGTTACAATATAAATACTAGATCAACATACCAACAGTCTTAGGCACCACTTCTCCATATAAGCCAATAACGATTCTACCTGAAGAGAATCAAACCCAAAAAGTTAGAAGGAATATATAAAAGTAAATTTACCTTCGCAGCAAAATGAAAACTTAACAGTCCATAAATTAAAAAAAAAATCAAAAATCATTTCTTGTCAGCTGTATGAAAATTTTAATTTATTCTTATTTTACAGCAAGAAGACTGACTAATGATTTAAAAAATAAATAGTAATGCAATATAGATAATTCGGCCAAAGAGCAGTGCATAATAACAATCTGGTGTTTACGCCCAATAATAATCTACATGCATACATCTCCAGTATTGTTACTTACATGGAGATATCATCTTTTTCCAAGGTTTTGAATATTAATTAGCAATTTTAATAAAGCTAACAATTTACACATAAATCTTTGTTTTAGCCTATGCCAAAATAACACTGAATTTGCAATCTAATTTTTTTGTCAACACATTTCTTTAGCATCAAAAGTCTTAAATCTCGAAAACAAATACAAGAATTGGCGAATATAAAATTGAATGAAATTTTCAATATGAATTCAGTTATCTACCTCGCATGAAGGTTATTAAGAAGATAGTGTGTTCACTAAAATTCAAGGTGACATTAAGTTTTTAAAAAATGAAAGTTTTGGGATTGCGTTCATTTTGATTATTAAAAGAATTTCTGGTTCATTGACACCTTAAAATTGCAACAATTCAAATATTAGTTCAATTCATATTTTGGGATTGCGTTCATTTTGATTATTAAAAGAATTGAGAAAAAAATAAAAAATAATCAATAATGATCTTCATAGAGTCATAGGTAGGCCAAAAACATTAAATTCAATCAAAAGATTGCTATCACATATTTATAGCACTGAGCAAGGTGGTTGAAATTTCTACTATAATACTAAGTTTTGTTTGTGTCAAAATGTCGAATCATTTATATTATATCATTTTCTCTTATTTATCATTTATTTGTCTTATATATGCCTCATCATTTAGGATTAGGTTGGAGATTTCACATTTATTTAGTGGTAAACTTTTTAATAATACATGTTGCTATAAATGTGCCTGAACTTTTATAATTAAGATGGTTAAAAGTTGAAGTTGAAATAAGAAATAATTTATGCTCTAGAAGTCTTCCCCCAATTGATCCTAATTTTTTAAGGAATAAGGAAATTCCATATTTGTTTAGTGGTTTCTCTTACTTTCTTACTCTGAATTTTATGCCTCCCCTCTCCTTCCTTGTAGACATTCACCTACTTTTTTCAGTCCTCTTCTACACTTGTTTTCAAGCTATATAAGATTGTTCTCTATCTATAAAAAAAATATCATAAAAAAAAATCATTTTTTTAATTATTGCAACCCCGCTCGCCATAAAAAATATTTCCATAGAGTTAATACATCATATAGCTCTCATTAATATCAGAATGAACAGAAGAATAAGAATAAAAAATTAAATCCCAAATAATTTGGATAAATCTAATAGCAGTGATGATGATGTTTTCATTATCAAACAAACAAAAAAGTAGTTCTTCTGGCTTTAAAGTTCACATATGCAACATTAATATTACTTGTAGCCTTCTAAAGTGTGTCTAGTACAAGGTAACACACGGCTAAGTTAATGGTTCTTCTTTTATGAAAGAAAATAACATTAAAAACAAACTAGCATCCTCAAAATTAAAGAGTGAACAAATGCATCTGCTGAGTTCAGCATTCAAATTTTGTGATGCCTTAACAATCAATTCTAAAGAGAAAAAAAAACAAAGCATGCTTATCAAACCAAAGGAGATAAACCTGCATGCTGTCCATCTATATCAACATCCAAGTAAACTCTATGAGTTATTTCAAGCGCTCTCTCCACATCCCTGTCCTCCTAAATATAATAAATGAAAGTATTGGTAAGCCCTCTAAAATATAAATAATTGACAGATGATAAGAAAATCAAACAGCATGCTTGCTAATGAAAGCTTACAATTAAGAGAACCGCAATTGACAGAATGCTTGCTAATGAAAGCTTACAATTAAGAGAACCGGCTAGATATCAACTTAAAAAAATCAATGCGACAAAATGTGCATGATTTCCTTGGCTCTTTAGTTTCTAATGCAACTAGCATAATGCAGTGAATGTAGGTTACACCAAATAAATTAGGATTTGCAAATCAAATACCATTAAATAAACATAAATTCACTTCATTAAGTATAACTAAAAAAACAGAATTTAAACCCAAAGCATAATGAGACAATAATAAATTTGAAGAAATTAATGAGAAATTTGAACCATATCAAATCAACTAGAAATTGACCTTTAAAATCAAAACTTCTATTGTATCAAATTTAATCAATATAATGAACTCTAGCAAAGTAAATAACAAAGTATTAAGAAAGAAAAATAAATCAAAATGGAGAAAATGTAAGCCCCGAACCATACTAAAGTGATAATTTTCTCAAAATTAGAGTCATATTTAATCACACATAAATGAATCAAGCATCCAACCTTGCATCCAACATGCACATAATATTTGAACCAAAATCGACGATTTTAAACTAATTGAATTACATGTTTCAAGTATCCATTCATAGAATTTTTCATCTGTAAGTTAATAGGCATGGTTGGCAAAAAATCAGCCCAGTTCAATTCAATAAATCACAAAAATTTAAGTATTTACTTGTAATAGATAAGCACCATGAAAATTCTTCCAAAGTCCGATAAACCAAAATAACAATAAGCCATTCCAACTTTCCAGTGTAAGTCATGGCCTAGACGATGATGCATTGCACAAACTGCTAATTAACAGATCCAAGATCTTTAGTAATTGGCCCTTCTATCAAACAACCATAGAATGCAATCTGTTAGATCACCAGCAAGTCAATCTACGGCGTGTTGAATATAATCATACATCCTCTTAAGTCACAACCAACTAAAGGTAGTAATCAATAACCACAGCTAGTCTTTAAAGCCCACCATTAAAATTCAGTTATCCACCGTAACAACAAAGAGATGCGTTCGAGCTTTCAGTTCATCTATTTCACAAAGTCAAAATCCATCCAATTCCTTGAAAAAGGTAGCATTAGGGTACCTAGCAACTCCCATAGATTTTGTCTGATCAAAATAGTACACTAAAGAACAAAGAAAAGACATAACAGTGGAATAAACCTTTCCCATTTTTGTAGTCATCCTGTAATGCAAGGCTAACCCGCCATTATCTTCCTGCTCAAAGTAAATCAATAATATTTTGTTCATATTATTTATTAGCTCAAAATTTTTCGCAAATGTAAATCTGCATGCCTCCATCAAATCTACTCAGCTTGGGGAAATTGAACTCCGATAATCTATCATTTAATACAGGAAAATCTCTCTAGAATAAATAATATGAGTTCATTTTAAATAATTGTATGAAAATTAGTACTGGTATCGATTTACAAGAAGGTTAACAATTTCTAACAAAAGCTACTGCTAGATTAAGTAGAGTTGAGGGCCAGAGATGACAGAAAAATGAATTAATAAAATTCTATCAAATTAATTCATAGTAATAATTTATCAAAGAATGCCTTTAGTAATAAAGCGTTTGAAAAGTTGGGATCAATTTTCTTTATGCTACTTGTGGGTGTTGGGTTCAATAGATATTGCTTGGCAAAAAAAAATGAACATGCATTGCACATTTTTAGAAAATCACTTATTCAAGTAAATCAGGGCATAAATATTGCACTTCACACAAAATTAATCCAATTCACGACAAATGAGTCTCACACCAGGGAATAACTACCTATTATCTACCATTTGAAGTGGACATAATATCCTCATAGCTCAATGAACAAACTATCTGAGATTTGCCTGGCAAAGTGTTGAATAAAAATTCATAATTAGGTAATGAAAGAGAAGAATCCAAGAAATTGATACTAGGTTCAAAAAAAATTTGACGCACTGAAAGCTGCGTTAATCTAAAAAAATTTAAGAATCACTAATTTACAAATATTAGTGCCAATGTTATACAAAATTTTAATGATCATGATAATAATTAATCTTTGAAATGTAATTGAAAGAAGCCATCTTGAATTTAAATGAAATAACTTTATCACATCATTTAAACCTAGCATACATCCCCTTCACATCAGCATAAAGCTTATAATTGTCATATTTAATAGCCTTGTTCTCTGAATATCATCACAAAATTTAGGCAAATCAAGAAAATGATATAAACAAAGTGATAACAATGCTAAGAAACTGTTGCATCCTAGAGAATATTAATAATGACTAGGATAATTCCTAGGAAATAAGATCATAATATAAGAAATAAAAAATAGACAAAACATACCAGTATGTTATGCCTATATGAATAAACAATCTCTTAAAAAAATTAAGAAAAACGGTTTAAAACTGAGTCGCAATCAAATACATTTTTTTAGAATTCACTATAAATAATGAGTTTTTCACTTTACATTTTTTATTGCATACATAATTAAAAATCCATAAATTATTTGTGGTACCTCACACTTTTCGTTAAGGTTCTTTTTATGAACTTGGATATAAAAATTAAGAGTAAAAAATAAAATCAACATCACTCTAATCATCCATCATAGGAATAATATCAATAGATAATTCATCAAGATTTGCATTTTCATATTACTCATTTGATTCATCAACTATGCTAAATATGATTTATTTAATTTTAAATTCAGGCAAAAGTCCAATCTCCATTAAGAGATCATGTTCAGATAGGACTCAACTTTGCTTTCAAACTCAGATTCTAACCCTTATTCTTCATGAACATGATCAATGTAGATGCAAATTTAGATTTGTCAAGAAAATATAGACTCAAATAACAATTATACATTTTCCTTTTTCACTAATATATCAAAAAAATAACATTCATAAACTTAAATTTCTTGGATAATATTAAATTTATGCATAATTCTTGGGTCAATGTAAATCTAGCAAGTTAAATAGGAAAAACTGATCATTTCTCTTTAGGTACCCAGATCACATGTGCAATAGTTTAAAAAGAATGCTTGTATGCCTCGATAGATTTATGGAAAGCATACGTTAGGTTTTTTTTTTTTCTTTTTTTTTTTCAATGAAAGGTGTATTGGATAGTATTTTGGGTGACTTGCAGCTTCATTCATTCAAAAATTGTTGCCTTAAACATTAATGAAATAAGTTGCAGTAACTGGTCCATGTTCAAACCGCATGTAACTATAAGATGTATAAACCTTGAATAATACTCAAACTCACTATAATTACTTTGTTTTGTATCTCTTAAATTTATTTCCAAAACTACGTTACATACCTTCTTTTGTTTTTTCAATGAAAGGTGTATTGGATAGTATTTTGGCTTTTTTTTTTTCAATGAAAGGTGTATTGGATAGTATTTTGGGTGACTTGCAGCTTCATTCGTTCAAAAATTGTTGCCTTAAACATTAATGAAATAAGTTGCAGTAACTGGTCCATGTTCAAACCGCATGTAACTATAAGATGTATAAACCTTGAATAATACTCAAACTCACTATAATTACTTTGTTTTGTATCTCTTAAATTTATTTCCAAAACTACGTTAAATACCTTTTAATTTCCAATTTGAGAACAGTATACACGCAAATATGCAAACCGAATAGAATCGTTCTTAATTCATGAGCAATCTTGACTCACAAACTGACTCCAGTTCATCCTTTAATTTTATAGAGCATGAAATCAAAAAAGTAGCTTAAATATAATCACTAATGACCTTTTCCTGAATATAGTTTCAAACAAAAACAAAGAAACCCATGCCTCGAAATAAATTATCCATAATCTCATTATTCAATCTGTCCAGAATTATAATGCTGCACCGGTATCACGTTTAGTTTCAGCTGCTCGAGATTGTTATATGAGAAAAGCAGTACACCTTATATGATAAACACTAAAGTCCAAACCAACCTTTCCGTGCCTCAATCAGAAATTTGAGCAAAATCTAATGAATCCAAACAAACCAATACGCCCCAGCTCCTTTTCCTAGTTAAGGAATAACACGTTCTCACTATGCTCATAACACAAATCTCGACGACAACCCCCATAGTTCCCCAATCTAGTTGAAATCCAAAAAAGAAGCCCTCAAAAGTGAGCCAGAATGAGGCTGGATCATGAAAACATAGAAGCAAACAGACAGCGAGAGAGACGAGAGAGCGCGAAACAAAGACCTGAACCCTCCTGCGGGATATGGAGATAAGAAGGCAGACAAAAGCTAAGGCGAGCAACGCAATAAGGGATTTCCTAAGCATTCCGTCTGCCAATCAGCCACTCCTCCGTTCTAACCTCTCCTGCCACTCACTGCTGAATCCACGCGACGTCGTCTTTCGTGGCACTGCCGCATTCGATGCTTGATCGGTCTTCCTCCCGCCCACTCTTCGTCTAAGAAGGGAGTTACCGGTGGATAGCAGGAACCTCGACAAATCGTGGTCGGAGGAGGGCGGAGCTCCACCTTTGCTACTTGTCCCCAGTGAATGGCTGAAAGCCCGGGTTTGCAGGCCAGTTGGCTCGAGTCAGTTTATCAATTCAGGTTGGGTTATGCGAATTTCGTATCACCTGTTAACCCATAATTAACCCGTTTTTAATTATCTAATGTGGGGCCCTTTATAGATTATGGGCCCTATGTATGGACTTAGTGATGGACTTCATAACTGAGCCTCGTACCATGGCCCAAGTAAAGAAAAATAAAAAAAAATAAAAAAGAAATTTGAAATACCTCACAACCAATGGTGCATTATATACATACCACACATTTTTGTTGAATTTACACACCTAACACCTAAATTTTTATTTTTACATTTGTAACACTCAAATCTTTTATATTTCATCTAACATATCATCTATAGCTAACTTTTTAAAAGTTAAAATGCATATTCTCATGCATAAGTGAAGCATTATTAATGTAAATATTAAAATTTAATTATTAGCTATATAAATGGATAAGTGGTATAAATGCATTCTTCGGGTCCATGCAATTACACATGCATGCATATGCATTTTGATACAATACAAGATTACATTGATTTTAGTCAAGTTAATTTAAAGGGATATTTACATACATTCCCCAAAGTTCCCATACATTTAATATAAGAATCTGTTTGGGACAGCTGCAGCTTATTGAATAATCTGTTGATAAGCTGATTAAAAATAATCTACTGATAAGCTAGGTGCGGTGGCTATTATAAATTTTTATTTTTTTGGAAAAGTCAG